TATCTGTACATTGTAGGTATATTATCAGAACTACTACACAATACAATATTCAATTGTGTCTTTTTATCCATACATTCTTAGGTGTGTATTTCCCTGCTATTGCTAGTTTATTGACCACTAGAGTATCTGATGAGAATAGAAGCTTTGTGAATGGACTGATACATGCTGGACCACAACTGGGGTGAGTATCATTATTTAATTTAGGGCATTTTGGCAATTAATGCTATTATTTATTTATAATTTACGTATTATTGTTTTTTTTTTAATTCCTAGTAATAGCCACAGTTTAAGTTTTAAATTTAAGTTTAAGTTTAATTATAATGTACATGTACATGTACATTATACTTAATGTACATTACATTATAATGTACATGTACATGTATATGTACATGTACATGTACATATACATGTACATACATGTACAATATGTACATGTACATGTACATGTACATTTAATTGTAATGTTCATCAACATGTACATATAATTATGCATGACTGCATGTACATGTATTAGAGATTTGGCCCTATAATAATTTCAGCATTTTTTGTTAATATATTTTTGTCAAAATTTACATGTTTTTTAAAGTACATGTATGTGTCAATCACTTTTATTTGTTATTTTTTTAAATTAAAATTTTAAAATTAAAACAAATTATTTTACTTTTTTATTAAGTACATTATTATTTATGTCTTAATTTTTCTTCTTCATTTTCATGTTCCTCCAGGTCAGTCCTCACTGGTCTCCTAGGATACACGTTCCTCTTCTCCCACGGGTGGGAGTACATGTTCCTGTTAATAGGAGTATCAGGGATTGGGTGGGGCTTACTCTTACGATGGCTATCAAGAAGACACACCTCTAAAATGCACTATCAGCTATTGGACTCATCACCAAAACAAGAACTATCAAATAATGGGACTAGTAGTGGCAGTAGTAAGACTATTAATGTCAGTTATTCACAAAGAAAGGAGCCACCTACTTGTGTGGATATGCCATGGAGGAGTTTGATAAGACAAGGACCTGTTTTGTGAGTGAGGGAGGGAGAGGGGGAGGGAGGGAGGGAAGGAGGGAGAGAGAGAGAGAGAGGGGGGGGAGGGAGGGAGAGAGAGGGAGAGAGAGAGAGAGATGTTTAAGAGATAAGAATTTGCTAATTATATTCAAGACATTGAGAAAGGGAAAAGAAAGAGAGAGATGCAATATACTGTATAATTAATATTAAATTTATTTATTAATTTTTGTTTTGTTATAGGGCGATGTTTTATGCTAGTTTCTGTGAAGGGTTCTTCTTTCATCTCTTGTTCTCATGGCTACCGACATTCTTTCATGATAACTTTCAAGACAGGAAGCACAGCGTAAGTTAGGGGCGTGACTTAAAGTCAAAAGGGCGTGGCCAATATTTGGGAATGTGAATAAATGGCCATAACTCCAAAAATTGAAGTCGGAATCAGCTCAAACTTTCTACACAGCATAAGGACATCAATATGTATCAAAAAATGTAATAAAAATTTGGGGTGATTTTGGAGCCATTTTTCCAAAAAACCATGGGCTATAGCCTTGGGTATTTTTCAAAAATTGGCCATTTAAAAAAATGGCCATAACTTGAAAAATTGATGTCGGAATCAGCTCAAACTTTCTACACAGCATAAGGACATCAATATGTATCAGAAAATGTAATAAAAAATTTGGGATGATTTCGGAGCCATTTTTCAGAAAAACCATGGGCTATAGCCTTGGGTATTTTTCAAAAATCAGCCATTTTTTAAAAACGGCCGTAACTTGAAAAATTGAAGTCGTAATCAGCTCAAACTTTCTACATAGCATAAGTACATCAATATGTATCAGAAAATGTAATAAAAAATTGGGGTGATTTTGGAGCCATTTTTTGGAAA